TTAGTAGACCAGTAGTACCTTTTAGAGATACATGTGTTTCTGTGGGTGTGTGTGTCAATGTGAGTGTGCCTGCGTGTGTGACAGCCTAGGATGGATATGTGTGCTTAAAGGAGGTGCCCAAAGTTGGAGTCTGTGCTCTGTTGATCTCCCAAAGCCATTGGAACTTGGAACCAGCACAGCTGGTTGGGCTCTGTCCCCTGGCCTCCTAGTGTGACCTTGAGCAGATAGCTTATTCTTTCTGGCTCTTCCGTATGAGCCAGTGGGTGGAAGCCAGCTCAGTTGTTAAATCATGACCAGCATTTACATGTTAATGTGAGAGCAGAGCTCTGTGTGAGTCCCGGGAAGCAGGTCAGTGTTTGTGTTCTCCCGCTGGAGCCTGGAGCGGACTCAGTGAGGAGGGGATGAAGGTTTAGGTCGGGGTTAGCTGACCCTGGAGACCAAGAGGAGTGAGTGGCTCTTGTGACCACCTTGTCTTGGTTTGCCTGGCTTTAGACTGAAAGTTGCACATCCCCCGAGTCTGGGGCACACTGGTGTGGATGGTCACCCTAACTGGATCTCATACTTGGGCAGATCAGGAAGCAAGGGATCTTTTTGTTTTTATTTTATTTTTCAATTTTATTAGGTAGAATTATTACAGTTCGAGTGCACATGCACATTATATTGCATGTAAATACATATATACAGCATACTGCAGTTTTTTTAGTTTACATATATGTACTGATTATTATTTCTAAGAACAGATTAGAGCTTTGGCTTTTTAAACTTACATAGTCATCAAAGGAATAAAGTCAACTACAAAACAAGAATCAGCAGAATGCAGTAATCCAGTCATAAAGGACAGTCAGATGTGCTTACCTAACTGGATCTCATACTTGGGCAGATCAGGAAGCAAAGGATCTTTTTAAAGGGATCTTTTAACTGGCTGCTGCTGCTTCTTTTTTTTTTTTTTAAGCACCTTTAATGTGGTCTGGTTCCTGTACAGTAAACCACACACATTTCAGATGTACAATTTGATGAATTTTGATGGATGTACACACAGTGAAATCACCGCCACGATCAAGATAGCTGACATCTCCGTCACTCCCCAAGAGGGGCATATTTCAAATTCCCAATTTACCCCTTCCCACCCTCTTTACCCCCAGTGACCATAAGTTTGTTCTCTATGTCTGTGAGTCTGTCTCTGCCTGGCAGACAAGTTCATTTGTGTCATCCTTTTCAGATTCCACAATGTAAGCGATATCATACAGTATTTTTCTTTCTCTTTCTGGCTTACTTCACCTAGAATGACAATATCCAGGTCCATCCATGTTGCAGCAAATGACACTATTTTATGCCCTTTTACGGCTGAGTAGTATTCCACTGAATACATACAGCACATCCTCCCTACCCAGTCAGCAGTCAGTGGACATTTGGGTTGTCTCCATGTCTTGGCCACTGTAAAGAGTTAACGGCCTTCTTCTCTCATTCATCTCTGCCCCTCTTTTCTCACTCATTCGTCCGACTTGCATCTCTTTTTCAGGTCTATCTGGGAACCCTACAGACCTAGAAAAACGTAAGCAAGTGTTCGGGCAGAACTTTATCCCCCCGAAAAAGCCCAAGACCTTCTTACAACTAGTGTGGGAAGCCCTTCAGGACGTCACACTCATCATCCTGGAGATCGCGGCCATCATCTCCCTGGTCCTGTCCTTCTACCGCCCCCCTGGGGAAGAGAACGAGCGTGAGTGTCGTCAGCAGCCCCGCGTGACTGTGCTCTGGGTGCCTCCCACCCCCACCAAAGAGCACTTGGTATTGGTGCTGACAGATTGTAGCTTAACAGTTTCTCACCATTATCCAGAGTGGGTTCCCCAAAGGAAACCAACAAGTAGCTAGTAAGCTATTCTTCCGACCCGGCCTCTTCTCCATCAAATCCTTGCTCAGAATGTCATGACTCCTGCACCCTCATTCAACCCACAAAGCCCTGCATCTCCGAGCTCCCCGTATCCCCCCATTTATCTGGCTTTATGGGAAGCAGCCGTGGGAGCCTGACCATGTTGCCAGGTCGTAAGTTCTTTATATGTGACTTGCTTGTAATTTGCGTTGACACGTTTCCTGCTGTTTACTCGTCTGATTCTTCTGAGTGGACATAGTTCCACTGACGATGAGACGCTGCCCAGCCCTGCTGTCCTCTGGTGCCCTCGGAGGACAGCTGTTCTACCCAGAAGTTTTCTCTGTTGCTCTCTTTCCCTGACTTCCCATTCCGGGGGATTGCAGAAGCACTACCCCCATTTTAAATGTCATCGAAAACCCCTCAGTGACCCTTCCTTTCTCTCCTTTCCCTGGGCTAGAGTGTGGTCTAGCCGTAAGTAGCTCAGAAGACGAAGGGGAGGCGGAAGCCGGCTGGATTGAGGGGGCAGCCATCCTGTTCTCTGTGATCATCGTGGTGCTAGTGACTGCCTTCAATGACTGGAGCAAAGAGAAGCAGTTCCGCGGGCTGCAGAACCGCATCGAAAAGGAGCAGAAATTCTCCATTATCCGAAATGGTCACATCATCCAGCTCCCGGTGGCTGAGATCGTGGTGGGTGACATTGCCCAAATCAAATACGGTGAGAGCTCTGTGTTTCTTGGACCTGTGCCACCTTCCCTATTTGAGGACCAGGTCCTTTGGCATAAGGGGACTGGGAATTACTGAGGATCCAAAAAGATAAGACCCCCAAATTGTGTTAGCTTCTAGGTTGCAGTTTAAGGAGGTTGTGGGAAAGAAATTCAAAGAAGGTGTAACTGAAACTCTTCCCAAAGATTGTGAGGTTATAGGTTAAAAGTATATAACATTCAGGCTATGGGAAAGTGCTTGGGGATCAGTAACTGTTGGAATTTATAACACCTGGAAAGGAGTCTTATCCTGGATTGTCAGAGCTGAAGTTGTCTTTCAGAGGCTCCCCAGATACTCCCTGCACCGTTGCCCTGTAGGGAGGGCCTGTGGGAGCAGCCCTGAGATGGGGGTTGGATGGTCCTCGCCCTCCACCAGACTCCTACCTACCCTCTGTCTCTGTTGCCCCTTCTGCTCTGTGTACTAGGCGACCTGCTGCCTGCAGACGGGATCCTGATCCAGGGGAATGATCTCAAGATTGACGAGAGCTCTCTGACCGGGGAATCGGAGCATGTCAAGAAGTCCCTGGAAAGAGACATCATGTTGCTCTCAGGTGTGGCCTCTGGTGACCCCAGTTCCCTTTCTACCTCCCACTAGACAGACCACAGAGACCTTATCCAGACCTGGCTCTCTCTTCTCACCCTGCCCCATCTCCCGCCCCAAGGTTCAGCTGGGACAGTGGCATATCAGTGGAAATGGTGCCAGTACCAGAATACTGGGGAGCCTAAAGAGGTTGTCTGTGAGCCAAGTGCTGGAGGGGCCGTGGAAGGGCTCTGCTGGCGGGGGTGGAGGGTGGGGCGAGCGGCCTGCCCCTACAGCGGTCAGGCACAGCGCTCTCCTTACCCGCCAGCTGACCTCTCCCTACTGTCTGCTGAGCGTATCGCTGCCTGTGGGAGAGGAAGGGGGGCTGTTTTTCCCCTAAGTTCGTGTTTCACACCGAAGCGTGACTAGGTACAAAACAACGCCTCTCCCATCTTCTTCCTCGCGTAGGGACCCATGTCATGGAGGGTTCTGGCCGGATGGTAGTGACTGCTGTGGGTGTCAACTCCCAGACTGGAATCATCTTTACCCTCTTGGGGGCCAGTGAGGGAGAAGAGGAGAAGAAGAAAAAAGGTAAAGGGCTTTCAGGATGAGCATCCCTTCCCTTCCGGCCCCAGGGACAAACTAGGAAAGGGAACGGGTCTGAATGAAGTACCTAGCCGGAAGAACCTGCTGGAAGATGAGTACAGACATCCAAACCCTGTGCCAAGATAGAGGTGTCGTCCCTGGCTCCCCCAGTGCCCTAATGAAAGCCAGATCCTGGCTCTAGGCTCCCAAATCAGGTTGCATTTGAGCCTCAATTCCTGTGTCTGTTGCTGGATAGCAAAGGGATGAGGTAGAAAGCCTGCCCCAAATGAGCTGGTGAGGTGCTCTGGCCCCAAACACCCTCTGTGTAGTCTTCCAGGCCCCTCCCTTTCTTCCTAAGACATGAGGGATTATATGAACCATCAAAGCTGAGGGAAGACTGTCCAGGAGAAGAAACTGGGTTCCTGCTGAAACTGTGGGCTGTCAGCGGAAGAGAGACATGGCCAGGAGAGTGGAAACAGAGAGGGAATGTCTGCGCCAGAGGCAGTCCCGTCTTTGCCATCCACTTGTTCCCGGAAGAAGGAAAACAGAAGGAAAAAACCCCTGCACCAAATCCACATCTTCCCCGGAGCTTTCCTTCTTCCCTTGGAGGAGAGAGGGCGCCCTCCTGCTTGGCTGGAGGGCCATCCTGGGCTGCTTAGTGGAGGGCAGTTGATGAAAAGGAGACACAACTCATTCGCTCAGGAGCTAGACTGCTCGTTTCTGTAGCTGCCGGCCAGTGAGTAAGGACGAGGCCGGCCCAGTGCTGGCGAACCCATGTGGAGGCACCTTTCAGGGCCTTTGCCATCAGGCAGAAACTGTTCAAACCTCTCGCTTCCTAACCCCCCACCCCATTTCCCCAAGTGACGTGATGACGTCGGGCCAGGAGCACCCTCCCAGCAGCAGCCGTGCTCCAGGAGAAGGCAGCTCAGAAGCGGGCGTGCTCTCACCCGCGTACCCGCGTGGGTCTGGTCCGCGTTCCGGAGATCCGTGAGATCCTGTAATGAGATGGGTGTGAACAGAGATGTGAGCTTCCTTCACGTTCCCCCCCGCGACTCACCCCCTTTCCTGTTGCCCTTCTGGGCTCTGAGCGGGACCAGCAAATTGGATATCTGATCTCTTAAGAGTCACTTTAGGTCTCCACTTTTTTCTTTCTTGTTCAAACAGGTAAAAAACAAGGAGTCTCTGAAAATCGCAACAAAGGTAACCTCTCCGCTCCCTCGTTTACCATCTCTGCCTGCTCACACGCAAACCAGACCTTTCCAGGCCATCTGCCGTCTCCCCTTGCCTCTCCATAAGTCTGTTGTCCGCTGCTGTGGCCCAGATGCCCTGTCCTGAGGAAGGTGCAGAGATTTGGGGGTGGCGGCAAGCTCCCAAACCCGATCTAAGACGGGGCAACAGCACCCTCTGCTGTTGGCGCCAGGAACCTCATGTCAAGGTTTCTCTCGGGGAGTACGTGGGATCGATCCCTCTTTGCAGGGTGCCGAGCTCCCTGCCTCACCGCCCTAGGCTGGATTCAAACACCAACCAACGGTTGGTCGTCAGCTTCTGGGCCGGAAGACTTCGGGGCCCTTGTGGTGGAGGGAGCTGGGATGGGCGGTCCCTGCACCCTCCTCTTGCCAGCTTCCTCGTTGGTGTCCTCTTCTTGTCCGGATTCCTTCTCTGCCCGTCTTGCCAGGGATGGAGAGAGCTCCTTTCTCTGTGACTTTCTCTCCACAGTCTGTTTTCTTCCTCCTAATCGGATGTGTGTTTCTTTTTTGGAGGCTGTGTTTTACATCCTGTCTCTGTCTTGTTTGTGAGTCTGACAGCAGAGACGTTATCTCAGGACGGGCATCGAGCTCTGCAGGGGTGACGCTGCGGGGGGTTCGGAACTAGCAAGAACTGCTCTCTTGAGACAGCTCGTGGAGATTTTTCCCTTTTGTAACCCACATCATAGTAGTCCTTAG